TTGACTTTGTATTACAATTTGATAATATAGAAATTAGGAAATTCTTCCATTCAAAATGATTTTTCATATTATCGTAGAACATTAAATAGAATGAAAGGAGTTAAAAAGGATAGTGACATTAAAATTAGAGATGAAACTGCTAATAAAATGTCTATGTTTTTTGCTTATTCTTCACCAATGATGAAAGTACTTACTGAAGCAGTTAATGAATTTACAAAAGGTGTTAATGAAGAAATAAAAGATAATATTTCTGGTTTACTTTGTACGTTAGCTAATGCTTGTAATGATATGGTATTTTCTAACACTTTTTCTAAAGTAGAAACTAATTTGTTTTGTCTTCGTGTAATGACAGGATCAATTATTCTCAATGATATTATTTCTCCATTAGGTTCTTTCCATAAGAAAACACCAATTAGAATTAAAGAATGTATTATGCAATTGAAAAATTACAACCAAGAAGATCCTCTCATTTGTGAGACTACAAAATCCTTATTAGATACGTTAAGATTCACTTCTAAACATATCCAAGATCCAGAGACTCCTGGCTATATTAAGGCTCTGTTAATTTAAGTCATTATGATTTCTAAATTATCTTTCTTTGCTCTTTTTCTATCTTATTGAATCAGATTTTTTCTTATCATTTCTGAAATTTTCATTTTATGTGATAATAAAAAATCTCAAGAATAAGACAATTTCAAGAAAGCTAAAAGAAATAAATATTTACATTAATAAATACTTAAGTTATTAAAAAGAACAAAACTCTAAACATTAAATGCAATATAATCCTAGTTATAACCAATTACAAAAAGAGAATTTAAAATTAAAAGATATTATTTTTCAATCAAAAAAGAGATTATTTCAATTGGTGAATCTAATCAGAATAGATTGTGGAGAATTGTCATGTAAAATAAATGAGCAAAGTCAGTTAAATGAATTTATAAATGAGATAGAGAGATTATACCTTTATTGTAAATCTCATCTTCAGAAAAAGGAATCTAGTCAAGACGAAGAGACACACACTAATAAAGAAGATAAGCATTCATATAGTATTAAAGAATTATCAGGATTGAATGAAGAACAAAATAAACAAATAATTAAAATGAATTTAAAAGGACCACAATTACATGAACAAATGTTACAACGAAGGAAAAAATCATTGACATACCACGAACAAATATCTAAAAAAGATAATTTATTAAAAAGATGTATTTTTGTTGGAGATGATGATTCTGATAAAACAAATATTATTAGAACATTCATTCAACAACAATTTCCTTCAAATCCACATATTCTTTTAGAAGATGTTCAATGTATTGATATCCATTCACGTTGTGGTATTGTTAAAATAACAATTACAGATGCATTTAGTTCAAAAGGACATGAGTATTTAAGAAAAATTATTTATTCATCAGGTAATATATTTGTTATTTGTTTTTCTTTGATTCATCCACAAACTTTTAGTAATGTTGTTCAGTATTGGATTCCTGAAATAAAGAAATACCGACCAGAATTACCATTGATATTATGTGCAAGTCATTGTGGAGAACAACATGAAGTGATTCCGTTTGAATTAATTGAATCAACAATAAAATGTAATTTTATTGATAAATATGTTGAATGTAATTCAACAACAGGGAAAGGCATCTCTGAGTTATTTACTTTGGTAGGGGATTTATTAGCAGATAACCAGATTATTTCTGGTTGTATTGTTTGTTAATAATAAATCTTATATTTTAGTGAAACATAAAAATATAATAAACCAATTATAAATAATAGAAATTTAAATTGCAAATTTTTTGTCATCTGGTTGTGATTCTTCTTTTTGTCTAAACGGTTCGTTAGTTATTGGAACAGACCCAAACCCATCTGATTCTGGGATTTGAATATCTCCTTCAAACATTGAATCACCTAATTCAGCTAGTTCTAAAAAAAAATTAGTGTTATAAACAAAAGTTATTAGAAAAATAAAAGCAAACCATCATCTAATTCATTCAAATCCATATTTGTGATGTCTTGTGATAAAATGTCACCAAATTCTTGTTGATCTTCTGCAAAATTCATCATACTGTCTTGAACATCTTCAATAGAATTAATATCAAATTGGCGTGATATGAGTTTCATTTGTCTATTTGAAGCTGCCATTGCATCATAAACTTTTTTGTAATCTTTCATTTGGTCTACTTGGAATTGAACATTTTCTAAATTCATTTGATGTCTTTCAGTTATGTCCCGATGTTGTTCGTGTTGTTTCTTTTGTTTTAATAACATTAATGCCTTCTGTTTATATCGTTGGCTTTCAGCACCAGTTGTTTTATGTGACATTTCAATGTTTTGACGAATTTGTCGATCCAAATCAACAATCTTTTGATCTAAATCAGTTACTCTTGACTCAAGAATTGCATGAGTTTCATCTATTGAAGGTTCTTCATTCTTTCCAATGAATCGATTTAACATTGCAACGTTCTTAATTTTACAGTATTTTCCAGTTTTATTTTATTTTTTATTCCAAAAAATGACAAATGAATTTTGGTTTCAATTTTTCTTTCTACTGGTGGTTTCATTTATTCCACATAACATAAAATTGATAGTATTGGCATATTTCTTAACAAAAATGTTTTTAAAAAAACTCCAAATATCAAATTAATGAGACAAAGATTCTATATATCCAAAAGATGAGATAAGTTTCTCATCAAATATATGAATTAGTCAACTATTAATTCTAACTTGTAGCACATAAAAATATTTAATAATAAATTACTAGTTTTAATAATTTTATATGAATAAACTTAAAATTAAGTTTAAAGTGGATAGAGGTTCAATTAATTCTTTTTGTGTTTGATGTATTAATTACAGGATATTCTTTCATTATGTTGGTCTTGTATATTAGATGATAAAATAATTATTTGATGTTTGTCATTAATATTTTATTATTTAGATAGTCTGGATAAAATTATATAAGAATACAAATAAATCAATTATGATAAACTTAATATTTATATGTTCATCATATTGAGAAGTGAGCAAACCAGTTTCTTCAACATGTTTTATTTCTATTGAAATAATATTTTTTTTTTCAAAGATACTCGACTTAAAATGATTTTTAATTTCAGTTGTATCCTGACTTTTATTTTGATTTTAATAAGTAATAAAATATTTATCATTCTTTATATTGTTGTTTTAAGGAGAATATATTCTGTTTTGTACAAACATAAAACTATACTTCAGAAAGAAAAATTAATTTATAAATAAAAAAAAATACTTTTAATATATCTCTTTCTTTAAATTCTCTTTACTGTTTTCTTTCAAGTAAATTCACTAGTTTAATATGTCTTACACTTCTTCTTTAAATTGATCATATTCACCCCAATCATCATCATCTTTCATTTCATTTTTCCTCTTTTCTATTTCTTTTTCATTTTCTTCTTTTTCAATAGATTCATCAATTGAAATTTTACTCAAGTCAATTCCAATTGATTTTAAGTATTCTTTACTTTCTTTTCTATCCCAGAAAGCATCTTCTTTAATCTTCTTCCAGACAGGACCTTCTTTCCCATAAATACAATCCATAATAAAAGTGGTTGTTTCCCAAAACATTTGTTTTGTTATTTCATCTTCTGATTTAATCTTTTCATTAATTAGTAAATTCAAGTATTTATCAACAACTCGTTGCCCAACCAATACATATGGAATTTTTAGAGATGTAGCTACTATTTCATCATTTGTTTTATCAAGTTTTGAATATAACGGATAGATTGTTTCCATCATTTGCTCTTCAATGCTATCTCCAACAATCTCACATTGTTCTTTACTTTGTTTAAGTTGCAAACATCGATTAAATGCACGTTGTCTCCAAACAACCCAAAAGTCATCAGCTCCATAAACAGACATGGTTATAATTAATATTATCAAATTTATAAAATTAATATTCGCCATTATAAAATGATTGAAACTATTCACAGTTCATTCTAAAAAAAAAAGAAAAAAACAAAAATTAATAATTTTTTTATTATTTTAAGTAATTTAATATCGTTTTATAAAACAAAATAAAATAATAAAGTCAAATGATTATTATATTACGGTGAATGACGTTTATTTTGTAATTAATTTAAAAACTAAAATTAACTAAAAGAAATTATGTCTTAAAGAAAAAACTAGTAAAAAGAATAGTATTTAAATAAGAAAATTATAATTTTTTTGATGAATGACTCTTATTGAAGATTTAAAGACTGGTTGAACTGAATTAGTCAAAATAAACATGAACCCAATTAGTATTGAAGAATACCTTCAAAGTATTGAAGAAAATAATAAGAATACAAAAGACGCTTGTATTAGATATATTAATGAATTTAATAATTCTACATCTTCACTAGAACAATTTATGCAATTAATTATTCAATCCTTAAATGTTCACGACTATTTGCTAAAGAAACTTTCTGAGAACAATCTTCAATTACAAAACCAAGTCAATGGTTTGAAAAAAGAACTCTCTGAGTTAAAACAAACCACTATACCAAATTCAGGTGCTAGCTCTTCTCTTGGAATACCTCCTCATATAAACAATCCACAGCCTCAAAGTGCAGCTCAACCCAATGCCTTTGCTTCTTATTCTCCTCAAGTGAATTCCCCAAACCAACATTTGCTCCCTGAATCCAAACCATTACCTACTTCACAAGTACCAATACAACCTATCAGTCCTGGAAAGCCAATAATGCCTTCTCAACCAGGATTTGGTCAATATGTTCAACCTAAGCCAATTTCTCCTCAACAACAACCAATGCAACCTATCAATCCAGGAAAGCCAATAATGCCTTCTCAACCTATCAGTCCTGGAAAGCCAATAATGCCTTCTCAACCAGGATTTGGTCAATATGTTCAACCTAATCCAATTTTTCCTCAACAACAACCAATACAACCTATCAATCCAGGAAATCCAATAATGCCTTCTCAACCAGGGTTTGGTTTGTATGGTCAACCTAAGCCAATTTCTCCTCAATCAGGAGTACCAATGAAACCAAGTTATTCGATAGAACCAACATCAAATAATACTAACGCCTGATGAATTAACCGATGACTAAGCTTTATTTCATTGAACCTTTTATCTTCATATTTGGTTTTTAGATATGATTAATGTAATGATCATTTCTTTTTTTTGGGGGATTTTTTGTCATTAATAAAAACTTTTAAAGAATAAAATAAAAATCCTCATATGAAAGATTATATATCTGCTTAAAGAAATAAAAAAAAATTTATAATAAGACAAATAGCAAAAATATTAACTAAAAGCTATTTATCAGAAATACAATCAACATTGTATTTTCTATTTTATTAAAAATTTCAAAAACAGAGAATGAGACATCATTTTGATGATGTTTTTAGTCTCATAAAAAAGACTCAAAGTAAGAATTATTTGGTCTGCCCCTATGAAAGAAAATGGCAGACAGTCAACTCTTAGAAGAAGCGTATTTAATTTCTTTTTAAATCAAATTATGTGAAAGCATCAATTTCTTAATAAAGTTAGACGAGTATATATAAAACTTATCAAAGAAAAGTATATACATTTGACAGATTTTATTTCTACTCCAAAAGTACCGGAATTTTGAAAGTACAATATATTTAATAGTTGTATAGTAAAGGATTATATTATGAAATATAACACAGATGAAGTTGAATGTATTAAAAAAATATAATAACCTATTATTATAATTATATTATAATTAATATTATATATTAACTTACTTTTATTAATCAATGATTTTCTTTTGTTTGTTTTAGATTATTTGTGTTTATTTTGTTATTTTATGTTTTAAATATTAATAAAAACAATCCGAAGATGAAACACCAGAAACACTACACAAAAATTAAAATGAATAAAGACATTGTTTCATCAGTTATTGTCGTGTCTTTTTTTATGATATTGCATTTATTTAGAGTATTTTATTCAATATTACCAGAATAGTATTGATTATTATTTCTGATAGACTATCATTTATTATAATAAAAGAGTGTATATTTGTAAAGACAATAGTATTTTTTACATATTATAATATAATTACATTTAATAATATGAAGTAGTATTAAAGAAAAGGATGTACATGTTGTCGTTGATAAAGAAAAACTAACCAACAATAATATTGAAGTAATGATATGCTTTTTCTTCTTAAAACAAGAATGAAAAGAGTAAGGAAATGAAAATCACAATCACATTTCTCAACAATGAAAAACTAAAGAATAAGTAGAAAATTGATGAGGAAATAATCTTAAAACACAAAAATAAGATTAATCCCTAATGAGCAAATGACAATAAAAGGGAAATATAATCATACTTAATTAACTACTTTTTATTTATTGACTGTTCTTCATATAAATATTCTTTGAATAGAAAATAAAGAAATAATTAATGTATTGAAATATGAAATAGTCAATAAAAGTGAATATTTCCTAAAAGACGAGTCATTTGTATTGAAGATAAAACAAAAAGAAATAATAAATGATATGAAAAGTGATAATTATAAATGATAAAAAGATAATTCTGATATTTAGTCATAAAACAAAAGAAATGGATAAAACTTACCAAGAAACTTCATCGTAATAACAATAAATAGATTTGTTAATAAAGAATTGGTAAGAATGTTGAAAGAACAAAATATTATAGTTGATAAGGAAATAATGGTATAAGATAGAACGATTAATGATATGAAATATGTAATGAAATAATGTGGAGACAATAGAAAGATATAGAAGTACCTCATGAACAATACACTCAATGGAGAGTGAAGGAAATAATCTCACCTGAGTGAAGTGAAATAGAAAAAAAGCAATATCAAATAAAACTTAATTTAGTAATTTTTACTATTAAATAATTGAATGTAATAGGCATGAATTGCAATAGAAAATGCACAATAAAACATAAAAAAGATTTAGTTATAAATGAAAGTTTATTTACAAAATACAATGCAATAAAGAGTTTGATAAAATCAGAAATACAAAAGAATATTAAACGAATAGAGAAAAGACAACCAAAAACCATCAGTTTTACACAATAAAGTAACATAAAGTTAAAACAAATAAACCAATAAAAAGTCTAAAAATCAAAAAAACGTTGTGATTAAGGAATATTATTTCTATAATAATCAAAGAGAAACAATGAAATGAAACACCATTAATAACTAGATAGTTTTATCAAAGCAAAGAAAAAAAGAAATTTTGTTAAAACTTAATAATAATTATGTATTATTATGATAGATGTAATAATAATCACCTTTGTAACAATAATAAAAAATGAAATAAACATTTATTGATTTAAGACTTATAATTCTAATTTTTTACATAAAATATCAACACAACTAATTGATAGAATAAATAGTTTTAATCTTCTTATTTTCTAAAACCTTTGTAAAAATGAATTAGAAACTAAAGATAAATAGAAAAAATTAAGATAATACACTTTATTAATTCTAATTTAATTATGTTAATTATGTTATTGTACTTATCTATTTAATAAAGACAAGAAATATCAAGTTTGAATTTATTTAATTATTCTATATAATCAAGAAATTCAAACTCAAATTGCTCTCACTTTCGTTAGTAGAAATGATATTCAAGATATCATATCTTCGCCGGAAGTGAATAAAGATTAAAAGTTTCGTAATAATTA